CTGAAATCCTGCAGACATCTGCTTGAAAATGCCAAGAAGAGCCACATGGAGGTGGTGGGTGTGAGGTGTGCACCAGGATCCCCACCACCCCCACCCATGCTCAGCCCTCTGCCTGTTTCCCAGGAATTAATCATCCTGTATGAGACTTTTCCCAGAGCTTCCAAGCATGGCCAACCCCTGGGCCTGGAATTTTTCCAGTTGAGAATTTCCTCTCTCTGAAAAGAAGGTTTGGAATGTCTCCTTCCCTAACTCCACAATCTCCAGAAGGTCTTATTCCAGGAGGTTCTTCTCAGAGACCTGGCCTTGGGGAAATTAAAGTAAGGCTGGCTGAATAACTTGTCCAGGCCACATAGCTGAGGGGCAGGCATGTCTGGATCTGGGTTTCTTGGGGTCCTAGTTCTTATTCCTTAATGTTCCTCTCCAGGGGCAGCATGGGGGGATGGGAGGAGCACCAAGTGCCTCCTGTCTAGTCCTCACTTGCCACATGGCCCTTTGTAACCCATTTAACGGTTTAGGCCTTCAGTCATTGTACCTTTAACATGGGCACACTGTCCCACGTGTCTGCCCAAGGCTGTTCCTGACTGGGACTGGGGGGGGGGGGGCTCTTCATGTAAGCTGAGTCTCTTCCTTCATTTCCCAGTTTTCATGTTGGCAGTGGCTGTCCTGACCCTCAGGCCTATGCTCAGTCCATCGCAGATGCCCGCCTTGTGTTTGAAATGGGTGCCGAGTTGGGCCACACAATGCACATTCTGGACCTTGGTGGAGGCTTCCCTGGCATAGAGGGAGCCAAAGTGAGATTTGAAGAGGTAACCCTGGCGCTAGGAGTGTCTTGCTGGGCCCTCTGGGTAGAGAGCAGGGGGGCACGGTGGAGGGGTGCAGTGATCACAGGGATACTGTGAGTGGGTCCTGTGTGTCACATGCTGTCCTCGTTGCTTTCCCTGGATCATCTCACTACTGTTAACCTCATGCTAAGGCTGAGCAAACCAAGGCTCAGAGGTTTTGACATTTCCTGAGTCCACAGCAGAGCTGGCTGCATACCAGGCTCAGCCTGGTATCAGACCCCGCTTACCAAACCTGTGTGAGGCTTAGCCAAAACCTATTTGCATGTCATAAGACTCTTTGAGGGTCTGAGTATGCCCTGTCCACCCTCAGGTGAGCTGACAAAAAATAAGGTGGGAAAGCAGGGGAAGGAAAACCAACCTTGGATCCACTCCCAGTCTGTGTGTCTCCTTCCCACCTGTGAGATGAAGGCAGGAAAATGTCATTGCAATCCTCACTCTTACCACTAGGAGTCACTTTTTCTTAGAAAGAGGCCTTTTCCGGAATCTCCACAGCTTGGAATTGACCCAGAGGAGCTAATACCAAATGGACCCAAAGAATTAGCCTCATAGACCAGACTTGCAGCTTTGCATATAATCAAAATTGAGTGCATTTACCTAGACCATCTAATACTCAGGATTGGTTAGATTATAGATCTTTTTTTTTTGGCACTGGGAATTGAACCCAGGGGCACTTTACCACTGAGTGACATCCATAGCCATTTATTTTCAGACAAGGATTCGCTAAGTTGCTTAGGGCCTGCCTCACTAAGTTGCTGAGGCTGGCCTTAAATGTGAGATCCTCTTACCTCAGCCTCTGGTGTTGCTGGGATTACAGGCATACCCACCATGCCTTGGCATGGAACATTCTTACAATGAAAATATTCACTCACATGAACATTCTCAATCTATTGAGTAAAACAGGCAATCAGAACAGATACACAGACCCGTCTCGTTCATAATAAAAAAATGTTTGCATAAAAAGAAAGGAGTTTCTCTAGAAAGCTCACAACGATTAGGTTTCTTGACATGATAAAATTAGGATGTCTTTTATCTTCTTTTTCCTTCTTGGTTGTTTAAAAAATTTTTTTCTCTAATATAATGTATTATTTAATGAACTGGTTATTTATGAAAGAAAGATCCATCCACATCAGGGCTTCTGGATTTGAGCACCTAGCATTACAAAAGGATGCTCCTCTCCTTTATGAGGGCACTGAACAGGGTGATTTATATAAGCACGAGGGTCGTGATTCAGCCCTGTCCCCCTCCCACCTGTCTAGCTGCCCCAAATTACTAGCTGGGGCTTAGCAGCTGCCAAATCCTTCTTCCTGAAATCAAAGCAGCTTTCAAGAAACAGACTTGGAGCTGTAGCAGATCTTTAGCATAAACCTCACCTTGCAAACCAGAATAGGCTTCCAGTCTATTTTGAACACACAATTGTCCCCTCATCCCCTCTCACCAGATTGCTTCTGTGATCAACTCAGCCTTGGACCTGTACTTCCCAGAGGGCTGTGGTGTGGACATCCTTGCTGAGCTGGGGCGCTACTATGTGACCTCCGCCTTCACCGTGGCAGTCAGCATCATCGCCAAGAAGGAGGTTCTTCTGGACCAGCCTGGCAGGGAGGGTAGGTGCCAGATGGATAGCAGAGCCCCATTCTTCCCTAAAGCTGGGGACAGTGGCTGGCTGAGCAGCGTCTAGATTTAGGCCTAGAGGTGGGGAGTCTGGAGAATGGGTGCTTGCTGAGGGAAAATTACAATCGGGTCCACTCACCCCAAGACACTTGTTTAGCATCCTTTTTCCAAGGCATGTTCATATTTTGTGCAGATTGAGATCAAGATGGACTTAGAATAGATTCTTTATTGACTCCATTTTTGTTTGATGAGGAAACAGAGTTAAAGGGAACACAAGTGAATTGCTTAATAGCTTGTAAAGAGGTAAAGCCTGTGTTTGACCCATGTCTGTCTCCTCTCCAAGATACTCTTGTTCATCCATCCTCATAATTTAATAAAATAATCAACAACAACTTATATTTGTTAAAGTCCCCTTGACAGATGAAAGAATGAAGGCAAGGAGAGGTTGGGTTAGCAGCCCAAGGTCACACAACTGACAAGAGGCAATGCTGGAATTCAAGTTCAGGCTGGGCTGATACCACCAGTGTAAACACTCTTCTCTGCCCTTCTAGATTGACAAATCAGGCCTCCTCGGCACCTCTCTTTGCTCTTTGAGGGAGAGGTGTCAGAGACTCTGATCTTGGGCTTTGCCCTGTTTCTTTGTCCTTCCAGGACTCTAGGGAGAGCTTCAGAGATGATTCACATGGCAGGGTGGTGGGTTCCAGGTAGAGATGTTGCATGTGTGTGTGTGTGTGTGTGTGTGTGTGTACGCACGCGCGCGTGCAGGAATAACATTCTGGCCTCTGTCACAGATCTGGGGGATTAACCTACGTAGTCCAGTCAGAAGACCTGGCTTCTCATTTCAGCTCATCCACCACCCTGTTATGTGCCTCTGAGCAAGAGGTTTAACTTCTTGGGGCCTTGAATTTGGATGGGCTACTCTTCTGCCTTTGCTAGGACACCTAGGGGCTCAGCTGCAGGCTGGTAATGTGTCCCAGGCAGGAACGCTGCAAGGGTGGGTGTTCCCAACACAACCGTGAACCCATGTCATTAGAAGGATGGCTGTTGGTGGCTCCAATTGCAGGACCCACCCCACAGTTGAGGAAGAGGCAGCCCTTTGGCTTCACAGACCTGTCATGCTTGCTGGGCCCACCATGGTACCAACTCCCCACTCCCAGCCCCCTCACATTCTGCTTGTGTTGCCCCTGACCCTTCCCCTCCCTGCAGAGGAAAATGGTTCCGCCCCTAAGACCATCGTGTACCATCTTGATGACGGTGTGTATGGGATCTTCAACTCAGTCCTGTTTGACAACATCTGCCCCACCCCCATCCTGCAGAAGGTGAGCTTACCCCTTGTGGGCCTGTTTTCACCTGTGTGTGTTTCAGTAACCTGTTGTGTTTTTACCTAATTTTTCTTTATTTTTTGTGGTGCTGGGGATTGAACCCAGGACCCTTGAGCATTCTAGGCAGTTGCTCTATCACTGAGCTATATCCCCAGTCCTTTATCTAATTTTTAAAAAGAAAAACACATTCATTGTAGAAAATATACAAGGACAAAATTATTGCCCATAACCTCACTATACCAAGATAGACTCCTTGTGCATTATATTTATTTTTATTCTTTTAAAAAATGCATTGTAGGGGCTGGGAGTTGTGGCTCAGTGCTGGAGCCCTTGCCTAGCATGTGTGGGGCACTGGGTTCGATCCCCAGCACCACTTAAAAATAAAAACAAAATAAAAGTATCGTGTTCATCTACAACTAAAAAAGATATTTAAAAAGAAATGCATTGTAGCCTGGAGCAATGGCATACATCTGTAATCCCAGCGACTAGGGAGGCTGAGGCAGGAAGATTGCAAGTTTAAGGCCAGCCTCAGCAATTTAGTGAGCATCTAAGCAAACAGTGAGACCCTGTCTCAAAATAAAAAGGGCTGGGGATATATCCCAGTGGTTAAGCACCCCTGGATTAAATCTTTAGTACCAAAAAACCCCCAAAAAACTAATGTACTTTGGGGCATAGCTATCTCCATACCATTAATTAATTTTCATTGTAGTTATAGATGGATACAATACCTTTATTTTATTTCTCTTTTTTTAAAAATATGGACACAATATATTTTCTTTATTTATTTTATTTTTACGTGGTGCTGAGGATCGAACCAAGTGCCTCACATGTGCAAGGCAAGTACTCTGCCGCTGAGCTACAACCCCAGCCTCATATTTTATTTATCTTTATATGGTGCTGAGGATTGAACCCAGGGCCTCACACCAGCTAGGCTAGCACTCTACCACTGAGCTACAACCCTAGCCCCCCATTAATTAATTTTTGATAACATGTTTTTTGATGACTACATAGTATTTCAACACATCTAACTCCAATGGGTGGCCATGTAGTTTCCTGTATTTTTTTTTTCTTGTACTGGGGGTTAAATGGCTTCTTGTTTTGAGCATTGTGAATGTATCTTGGCACACACCCCTGTTTATTGCTCTCGGGTAAACTCTTAGAAGTAAAAAGAAACAGTTCATCGGTAATGAGTTTTTTATATCAACAGGGGAACAAGAATAGAAAACACTTCAGGCTCCAGCAGCTTTATTGGGTATCAGACACATCATTGTATTTTCGTGTCTCTGGGACTTTATGCATGTGGTTCCTCTTCTGTTCAGATCAGTCTTGAAAGATCCTACTGGGAGCTCTTCCTACCCTTATGCCACTGCAGGCAGAGGGAACCCCCTCCATCTCCCAGGGGCCCCTGCTCTGTGTGGGGCTTAGGGTGTTCTCATTTTGTAGTTATATATGGCTATGTCTGCTCAGCTGAGTCAGCCCCCCTACTGTGCTGAGGAATTCAATTTTCTACTCACATTAGCATTGCCTGCATTTCTGTGGTAGCCCACATCCTTCTGCATGGAGAAGGGACCAGGCTGAACCTTGGCCAGCCAAGCCCAAATGGCAGTCAGGCAGGGCCCTCTTCTTCCAGTCCCCCTTTTCCAGTTGCATTTCATCGCTGACCCACTCTCCAGTCCCTTCATTGGCTCCTCAGAATAACAGGACTGTGGTCCCTGCCCACTGACTTGTAGATGTGCCAGGGTCTCTGCTTTGACAGATCCTTAATTGGCATTTCTGACTTGGCCACCAGGATGTGACCTACTCTTTCCCTCTGTGGAGGATGCCTCAGTTTCCTCCTTCAACCATTTACCCAGGGTGGCCCTGTGAGAAGAGAGCCCAGGGCATGGCCCAGTCTGGTGCTGGAGACCTTGCTATATGTAATTTAGATCCAGCCGTGTGGGGAGGGTATCAGGGGGACTCAGCCCAGCCAGGGTTGTCTCCACCTTGTTCTCCAAGAAATGCACTTCTCATGAGTTGTTAAGACAGCTTTGTGTCCCTACTCTTCCTTTCCAGGGACTTTGGTTTTAGACTTCAGGTATAAAAAGTTGTAGGGAAAAAGGATTTACTTCTGCTTAGCCCTCTGATGTTTACATTTCCTCTTTTTTTAATTCAACAAAGTATTGTGCTGAGGTCGGCAGATGATAGTAGGTAAGAATCTTTTGTGTCTTGGAAATACAGTCCTGTTGGATAGGAATTGTGTGTGCGTGTGTGTGTGTGTGTGTATGTGTGTGTATGTCAGAGAGAGAGAGAGAGATTAGCACACAAATTACAATGTCATGAGGAAAGTATAGGACAAATATTACTAGATTTTTTTTAAAAAATGTAGTTACATCTCTAAGAGTTAGACTTTGAGAAAAATTACAGTTCCATCATCAAATTAAAAAATTAACAATTTAATAGTGTCCTTCATCAGTTTTCAAAATATCTTATAAGTGTTTTTTTTTTTTTTAAATAGCTGACTTGCTAGAATCAGGAGCCAAAGAAACTCCACATAGTACATTTGGTTTCTCTCTCTCTCTCTCTTTGGTGCTGGGGATTGAGCCTAAGGCCTCATACATGCTAGGCAAGCACTCTACCACTGAGCTACACCCCCAGCCCCACCACATCTCTTTTAACCTATTGGTTTCCCCACTCTCTTTTAACATTTCAAATGTTTTTCATAATTTACTTGTTGATGAAACTAAGCTGTTTGCCCTATAGTGTTCTGCATCCTGCATTCTGGATTTTCCTGACTGGTGGATTTCTGGATTTCCCTTTGGTGCTGCTGAACATGTTTTTTTTTTTTTTTAATTAAAATGTAACTATTTACATTTCATGGTTAGATAGATTCCAAGTTTTTTGAATAAAAATACTTCATAGGAGGCCTTGTCTTTGTTTCCTTGAGTGTAATAAGCATCCTTATCATTTTACGGCCTTATCCCTTTGTTACCTCCCATGCAAAGTAACCACTATCTGACTCATGCATTACCAGTCTCCTGCTTTCTTGAGTATAGTTTCATTACATACAAATCTATTCCTGAAAAGTATTTAAAATTTATTACACTTGTTTTTTACTTTATAAAAATGGCATTATGATGTATGCAACCTTCCTGGGCCTTTTCTCCCTTCATATCACAGTTCAGGAGTCATCAACACTGAGCACAGATCTGGAGTCCATCCATTTCTCTGCTACACAGCATTCACTGATGGTGGAAATGCCACAGATTATTCATCTGTTCTCTTGAGGCATTTGAACTTTTCCTAGGTTTTTGCCTCTGTGAATGCTATGAATTCTTGCACATAGCTGTGTCACATTATCAAGGAATGAAAAGGCAGGGGATAAGGTATGTGAATGCTAATTTCATGAGATAAGTGTGAAACTGTTTTCCGAAGTGGCTGTATTAATGGACAGTCCCATTATCTGTGTAAGAAAGACTGGTGGATCCACATTCCCTTAACACTTGGTATCTTATTATCATCAGATTTCAAATGTTTGCCCAATGGAACTCTATAAAATAGTATCACATTGTGTCTTAATTTGCATTTCCCCAATCACTAAGGAAGCTGGACATCTCTTTGTATATTTATTGGCCATACGTTTCCCTTCTTCCAGGGACTCTGTAAGGTAGCTGCTGCCCTTCATGTCCGATCTTCTCTCCCACATGGCCTGCATTCGCTGCCTCTCCACTCACCCTCCAAACTTCTTCCATCTAGTGTCTGTTCAGCACTCTACACAGGACGCTTTTGAGAGTCACATCCGCATTGCTAGGTCTTCCATGTGGCCCTTCTGTCCTCAGCAGACCATCCTCCTCTTCACACCTGACTCTCTCTGGGCTTCTGTGGCAAAGTCCTGGGCTCTGCCCTGTTCTTGTCTCTCTGGTACTTACTTCTTCCACAGCCTACTCTCTCAATTCTCTCTCAGGCCTCAGTCTTGGGTCCTCTTCCTTGTCTACATGCACTTCTTAGGCAAACATGTCCAGATGGAGGCTTTCAATATAATTCCTTCTCTTGTCACTCCTAAATTTATATCTCTAATCTGGATCACACCCCCGGGCTCCAGACCTGACTAACTAGCTGTTGAGGGCCAAGGCCAAGTCAGGATGACACATGGCATTTTGCCAGAAGGGAGTGGTTGAGAGGTGACGCCACTGAGATGATGATGGTTATGTTAAGCTGTGTATTCAATTGTATATTAGACCTTTACTGTCCGGCAATAGGGCAGCTCTTGCTGCCTCAGGGGCCTGCTACTTGGGAGTTCCCATGGAGTTCTCCCAGGTTCCAAGGGAGTGCACGGAGCCCGGGAGAGGAGGGAGAGTTCTTGGGGAGTGTGCGTGGAGTGTGCTGGTGGAGTTCGGCAATAAAGAGTTGCTGTTTTGAACCTACAAGTGCTTCATGGCGGCTCGGTTATTTGTGCCCAGCCAGACTGCAGCATCTAGCTACCCACAAGACGTTTCTCCTGATATCCCACATCTCAGATCTAATCTGATCAGAACTGAATTCTTGATTTCCAAACCAAAACTCCTCTGAGTAAACAGCACTTCCACTAGCTAACTGTTTAAATTTTAAAAGTTGGCATTTTTCTTGCTTTCCCTCTTCCCACAGGGAATCCACTTGCAGTTCTTCAGTCTAGTTTCAAAATACATTTTGAGTTCATTTCATTCTTATCTCTGACACCACCCTAAATACAAATCACTAACTCCACCTGCCTGGACCATCAGATAACCACTAATTGCTCTTTTGGCTCTTCTTCCTGCCATCTTACCAACCATTCTCCACAATGAGGACAAAATGATCTTTTAAACATCCAAAGATCATGTTCCTTCTTGGCTTAAAGCCTTCCATGGCTTCCCATTACTCTCCAAATAAAATTCAGACTGTTCACCCTAGTTAGTGAGGCTCCTGCCCATCCTAGATGCCTCTCCCCTCTCTCTCACCTGATACACCCCACTGACCTCTTTTCTGTACCTGGAACATCTGAGCTCTTTCTGACCTCAGGGCTTTTACACTTGTTCTGCTTAGAATGATGTTTACTTATTCCTGAGATGACTGTCTTACTTTCTCCCTTTATGTCTCATCTCAGATGTCACCTCTTCAGGAGGTCTTTTCCTCATTACCTTTCTAAAGCAGGCCTCCAACCATCAGATAATTTGGTCACCCTGTTTATTTTCCATATAATGTCTATAATTATCTTGTTTTTGTTTACTTACCATTGGTCTGTTTTCTACACTAGCAGGTAGGCTTTATGAAGATAGTTAGCTTGTTCAATTGTTTCCTCTGAATTTTCAGCACCTGGCACACAGTAGGTGCGTAACATTTATTGAATGAATTATGATTGAATGAATCATCCATTATACTGTGAGACCCCTGAAGGAAGAAACTATTCATACTTGTTTTCCCAGTATAGAACCTGGCAAACAGTAAGTACTTAGTATATGTTAGAATTGAATTAATTTTATTTTTTGAGATGGGTTTTCTCCATATTGCCCAGGCTAGTTTTGAACTCATGGGCTCAAGCAGTCCTCCTGCCTCCATCTCCTGAGTAGCTGGGACTAGAAGTGTGTACAGCTGCACCTGGCTACATCAACTTACCTTCCTTCTTCCCTTCCATTCTTTCTTTCTTCCTTCTTTGAGATGAGGTATACTGTGTTATCCAGGTTGGCCTCAAACTCTTGTTCTCAAGTCATCCTCCTACCTCAGCTTCCATAACTGGGACAACAGGCTCGTAACACCACTTCTAGAATTGAATATATTTTTAAAAATTATATAAGCAACTTAAAATTTAAAGGGGCTTAATCAACCCTCTGCATCCCTCTAATGGAACTCTGTTCATTGTACATTGCCCCATGTGTGCTCCTGCACGGTTGCATAGTTCATGTATATGTTGGTGTGGCTAGTCACTGTGCACTTATGGCAGCAGAGCTGCACTAAGCATTTCTCTCTTAATTTTTGCAATAATCCTTTAAAGTAGGAATTGTCATTCCACTTTACAATGAGAAAATTGAGGCTTAGAGAGGTGAAGTATCTTGTTTAAAGTCATATACTTCATAAGCGGTAATGCTTATTAACTGTAGACTGCAAGACTCTGGGGGATAGGGCTTATGTCTGACTCATCTCTGATTATCTGTCTGGTGCCAAAGAAAAGCTCTTAACTACTTTCCTATAAAATTACTGTCTCCCTATAAAATTGCTGTATCACTGGGCATTTAAGCATTGCTAATTTTTTGTTATTCATGCTTCTATGAATTTTGCTCTTTGGTAATCTCTGCATGTCTGGCTCATTTTATGTGCTACAAGTGTATTCACATTTGAAAATGATTTTCTTTAAAAATTAAGAAAATTTCTTTTTGTTGGTGCATTATAATCATTCATAGTAGTAGAACTTGTTGTTACATGTGCACATAGCAGGATATAAACTCTTTTCTTTTGAAGAATGTCTGAAATAAGATTACCAGGTAAAAACAGGAGAGCATTGTTAGGCCTCTTGATACATATTGCCACATTATTTTTTCAGCATTTTGGACTAATATCTACTGTTACTAATTGTACCCATTTCATAATAAGCTCACAGGCATTGCATATGACCTTTTCTTGTTGTCTAATTTATCTGAAATGGCTTATCTCAGTATTTGTTTTATTTTCATTTTTTTTTTGGTGGCAATGGGGACTGAACCCAGTGGTACCACTAAGCCTAATCCTCAGCCCGCCCCCCTTTTTTAAAAAAAATATCTTTTTAGTTGTAGATGGACCTTTGTTTTTTATAAGTTACTGATTTTTTTTTAGTTATAGATGAACACAATACCCTTGTTTTATTTATTTATTTTTATGTAGTGCTGAGGATCAAACCCAGTGCCTCACACGTTAGGCAAGTGCTCTGCCATTGAGCCACAACCCTAGGCCTTCCTCAGTCCTTTTTATTTTTACTTTGAGACAGGGTTTTGCTAAGTTGCAGTGCAAAAGAAATACGGGCAAAAGACTTTACCAGACAGTTCACAGGAGAGGAAACCAAATAGAAAATGAAAGGTGCTCACTTGTACTCTAGGACAGGAAAATTACAATTTAAATGAGATTCCATTTTATACCAATTTGATTAGGAAATAAGAGAATGGCAATGTAAAGCATTGGTGAGGGTATGACATAGCTGGATCTCTTAGACACTGCTAGGTGGGAGTTGGTATACTGTTTTGTGAAATAAACTGTCATCAGATAAAGCTAACAAACATATACCCTAAGTTCCCAGGTGAATCTTGTAAAGAAACTCTTGGCATACATGTTTGAGGACTTATATCAAAGTATTCACAGAAGCAATCCCATTTTTTTTTTTATATCGCTGAGAATCAAAAACCAAGGCCTTGTACATGGTCAGCCAGCAATCTACAACTAAGCCACACTCTCAGCCCCAAGAGCAATCTTTATACAACAGTGGAAGCAACCTTAAGTTTGTTGGCAGGGCAACAGATAAATAAATTACAGTGTATTCCATGCAGTGAATTCTTGCAATGTTTTGTGAACTATGGCTGTATGTATCAATTGGATGAATTGTGGTAATGTAAGTTCCAACAAGAAAAAAGCAAGCTGCAGGGATTTCAAGCTATAATTTAAATTATATAAAATTCAAAAGTATGCACAACTAAATCTATTGTTTAGGGCTAGGTACAGAGTCTTGAGAAATCAAGAAACGTGAAAATGATTAACATAAAATTGAGGATAATGGTTGTCTCTAGAGAGATTAGAGAAGGGGATATCATTAGGGAGGGCCACAAAGGGGGTTTCAAAGATACTGGAAATTTTGTATTTCTTTAGCTGGGTGGGAAGGATATAGGTATTCATTTTTCAGTTATTTTTTACGCATGATACATTATTTTTTTATGAATTAACTAACAAAAATTGAGTCAGTTATTGCTTTATTAGTATTCTGATAGTCTCAGTTATTCTTTTATCACATGGTTTCTAAGGTAAAGAAAAATATCTTGGGGATTTCAATTAGTAGTAGTTTATTTAACCTATTTATTAGATTTCTTTCATTTTTTCCTTTCAGTACTAGGAACTGAACCCAGTGGCATTCTACCACTGATCTATATCCCCATTCCTTTTTATTTTTTATTTTGAGACAGGGTGTCATTGAGTGGCTCAGGCTGATCTTGAATTTGGGATCCTCCTCCTTCATATCCTGAGTAGCTGGGATTATGGATGTGTGCCATTAGCCTGGCGAGATTTCTCTTTTTTGCTATACTAATTTTTTTTTTTTCCAGCTAGGAAAAGGTAGAGCTCAAGTATTTTTTTTCCCCCATTGAGGTCTTATTATTTTCTTGGCCCAGGTACATACAAGAATTTAAATTGAGTGCAAACTTCCCTTGTGGTTTTTGTGCTGAGACACTGGCTTACTTGTTAAGACTCATTGATACCCTCTAGGAACTACCATTCCCTTTGATTTCTCAAGTGAACATATTATTTGCAATATAATATTTTATTTTCTACATACCTTTCCCCGCTAATAGTGATTGCCAGAGTTTCTCAAGATGTATAAAATAAGGATGATGAAAGGCTTCAGATTGGGAGTCAGAAGACATGAGATTGAGACCTGGTCTGCCATATCATAGATAAGTAAGCTCAGGCCAGTTACTGAATCTGAGCCTTGCTTTTTTAGTTGGAAAATGAGGGCACTGAACTTTGCTTAGTAAGGTTGCTTTTGGTTTTGAAATGAGGCCATTTTAGTGCATTTCCATGGAGTTGGAGTTGGCTCCCTATTTACAATAGTTTCTCTTCATTGTGGGATTTTGGTTGTAGTTTTAGAGAAGTTGCAATAGGCTACTGGATACCATCTTGACGTGTTTTGGAAAAATTATCTTTGCATTATAGATCTGTACTTTTTGTATTATGATGAAGACAGTGGTTGACTTTGCCCATGTTGTCTTCACCTTCCACAGAGAGCAAAGCATCTGATTTCTGAAGATGATTCTTTGTATATAAGCCTGGATTTGGTTAGTTAAGGTTTCATATCAGATTTTTGCCTATAAGCTCGTGAAAGAGATTTTAAATACATGTTTTGTTCTGGCACTTGTGTGTTGCCTTTGTTCATCTCATTTTTTTCTTTTAAAATATTTCTGTACACTTTATATAATACAGGAGTTATTGATTTAAAGTTTTTGTTTGTTTGTTTGTTTTACAAGTACATGCTTCATCCAGGGCATATACCTTTCGTGGTGTTTGACCTTGTTTCTTCTATGGAACTGTTCCCATAGTGGGCCTCTGGGGAACGCAGCTGGATCTGAGATGGCTCAGAGTTCTGCTAATTAACTCCCTCCAGAACCTGGGACAGGTCACTTCCCTCTGAGTTTTCTCTTCTATTAGCCGGGACTCACAATGGTGCCACCTGCCTTCCAGATGAGATTTAAAGTTGTGATTGTCATGCTTTGTAAACAGTGAACTTCCTGTCTTTTCTCAGAGAAGCCCAGTGGCCAGTAGATTTGGCATCTTAGATTTTTACAGCGGCTTGTCTTTTTCTACTCAAGTTATCAGACTTGTATACAGGGCTGAGATTTACAGTCTTGTTGCTACATTCTTTTGGATTATTTATTTTGCAGGTTCTTTTTTTAAAAAATGGATTTAAATAGTTAAACAGGAGATTTGCATTATTTCCTGTAAAGCCTTAAAATATTTTTTCCATCTGTTTTTAAAAAAATATTTTTATTTATAAATGGACACAATAACTTTTTAAATTTATATGTGGTGCTGAGGACTGAACCCAGTGCTTCACACATGCTAGGCAAGTGCTTTACCACTGAGCTATAACCCCAGCCCTTTCCATCTATTTTTTATTTGGCTTCACTAATAAGAAGTGAAAGAACGCTAACTTACAACCCAAGAGTGCCTTTTCTCTTTATTATGGAAGAACCTAAAACCTATTTTCTCAGATTTTTGTGGATAGTTTTATACAGCATATCCCCTGCCAAACTTTAAATGTTTTTTAATGATTTAGGCTAAGGGAAATCATTCAGAATAATCGATACTAATTTTAGTTATTAACAAAAAGCTTGTAAATAAGAACTTAAGGTAAATGAAGATCTGTTTGTTTCCTCTTCCTAGAACATGAGCTTTATGAATAGAGGAATGTATCTGTTTTGGTGTTGCCCCTCAGCTCCTAGATCAGAACCTGGCATAGAGCAGGTGTTCAATGTTTGCTGAATGAATGAATTAATGAATATAGGACAGTTCTCATTCTTGCTTCTAATAATTTGTACATATTTTCTTTATAAACAGGACTAGCAGCTTATTAACTTTTTGTGAAATACATAAACATTATTTCTCCTTGTGGAAACTGTGACTTTTCTTTCTTAATTTTGCTCATTCCTGCCCCTGGCTAAGGCATCGAAATGCCTTTCCTGTTTTCTCCACCTGACGGTCCTCACTGCTTCCTCCTATCACCTGTGGATGGTTTCTATCCATGTTCCTTTTCTTCTTTTTTTTCCCCACTCTCATCACTCATATGTATGTTACCCATCCATTCATTCCCAAATAATACTGCAACAAGCACCTACTGTATGCCAGATTGCAAGGTACACAGGAGGCGGGAAGAACAGATCTGACACTATCTCAGGCTTGAGGAATTTATCACCTGTCCAGGAAGCCAGTCTTGAGCAGCCACTTCACAAATATTTAGTTACAAATCATGGCAAACATTATGAAGGCAAAACTTAGGGAGCATGGAATTTCAGGATAGGCTTCCTTGGAGTCTGT